TCTTCCTCCTTAACGCTCCTTTCGCGTTACGATCAGCGAGGTTAGATGAAACTGAGTCGCATATTCATGCTAGTGGAGCTCGAACAAAAAAAAAAAAAAAAAACCCAGAACATATTCGTTCAGTCTTATAAACTTCAGATTATTCGACGTTGTGCACTTATGCAGGATAAAATAAAATTAAATAAACGCGATTGAAAACTCAGCTGAGTTACATGTACAGCTGATCTCCACGCGAAGCTTAAAAAAACAATATAGACTTTATTTTTATCACCTACTAATAAACCTCTAATAGCGAAATGACAGAAGTAGAGACTTAAAACAACTTAGATCCCAAAAAATTGACTCACTGTCTCATTTTATATCTTCTTTAGGAAAATATTGATCACGTATCTTCGTGCTTCACCACAAATATCGTCGAAAGACGATAACCTTCTTTCTGGTGGCGCTGCGTGAGATATGGCGCCATCTGGCAGTAATTTAAAAAAAAAACTGAAGTTCTTTTGAAACACATTGTCGCTGGTAAGTGCCAGCACAGGCCGTTTTAGTGAAGCGTAGGAAACACCCGCTTTTTCGTTCATGCGTCGCATTGTAAGCGTAGCGTAATAAAAGCTGTGGTTGTCAGAAATACGTATCTATACATTTTTTTAAGAAAACGCAGTACCTAATACTTACGTATTGATGTTGCGGCTCAAGTATGTGTAATAGTTTTCTAAAGCGTGAGATCGTTCTCGCGAATTCGGGTTCTCGTGAGATGCACTAACCTTGAGCAGGTCGAAAGCCTCCTTGAGTATTTTATCTCTTTCGCTAAGCTCGTGGTCTTGAACGCCTATGTCCAAGACGCCGTAATGAAACACGTTTTTTAAAGTCCAGTATTCTTCGAGCGTAGACTGGCCCGTTGTGCTGGTCACATCCGCCAGTGCAGCGGCGCGATTCCTGAAGCATGAGGTAATGACCATCATTAGATTATAGAAGAAATCCACCAGCAATTAGGTGAGCGGAGGTATTAACCCAAGAAGAAAATGAAGGTAGGAGATGGTATGAAGGACGATTGAAGCATGCATGCAGTCAACGTAGAAGTGAGAATGCCAAAAGAATTGACCAAGCTTTCCCTAAAAAACTTCAGAATAATAAAGAAGTGATTGCATATTAAACTAACAACCACAAGGGACAACATAACTTTCAGAGCTGTCAAAAAGATCTCATGTTACACTGATCGTATGTCAGAAAATGGACTTTTTGATATACGAACCTAAAGGAGTTGAAGATTTTGAAGCAGCAGTTAAAAAGGCGGTAGCATAAAAGCAGTTAAACAACTCTCCGTGGGAAGGAACATAATGCATGTGATCAGAGATAAACGGAAACATAATACTAATTTTAAATGCCCTGCGAAATTGGCCAAGGAGATGCATTCAAAACTGCACGTAAACTACATTATATTATCCCAATTCAGAGAAAGCAAAGTCGATCATCACGCTGATGCCCTAAGCGTAACTATAATGAGGTGAGAAAGGACGTGCAAGTCACGTCTCGAGAAAGAAAGAGTCGGAGAAGACTGCAGAAGTACTCATCTGACGAAAGTTAATAAATTTATATTTTAGACGCCGGCAGCAAAATACACAGTATGCATTCCAACTCAACTGCAGCGAATTCGGCCAAGTCGAATTATTCTTTATATTGAACTGTTTTCGGAGACGACCATGCTTTAACGGTGATGTATATGAATATCTACGGCCACACTGATCAAAAATAGCTGGAACACCTTGTATATTGAATAATGGGCCGCGCGACACGCCCCGAGATGTCAGCTTTCCATAATAAAAAAAGTTTACTTTTAGGGGATAAATCGCTAGGGTATCGACAGAGTCCTTAAATGTCTCGTCTTGTCGGCTTGTGTCGCGGTAATGGTCATCACAAACGGACACGTGCAAGAAAATTGTGGAAAATTGCTAAACTCGACAACGGTCCTCACTGTGCATGCTATGAGCTTAAGGTTCATCGTTACTGCCTCGATCATTATGTTTGGCTTAGCAGCAGCGTTAGAATCCCAGATGAAGTTCGTCGAGGCGTTCAACTCTCTTATCTAAAACTAGAGACAGAGATGCGCATCTCCACCGTAATCTATTCGGGACATCAGTTCTTGATAGATATTTATAATATCTATGATGTAATTGTGCGTTGATGAGTAAAGCAGGAACGAGTAAATTTTTTGCCGTGGAAAACACCAGCGCACGCTGCCGGCTTCGCCACTAAGATTCGCATTGTGGGAGTTAAACCACTCTGCTCAACACTGCTCAACACGCATCTTCACCTCAACTTTTGCTCGCGGAAAGGGACTTTTCTGAATGCATCTGGAGGTTCGGAAGGGTGTCTTTGTGTACGAGCTGGTAATATGCCAATAACAAGCGTAGACACTGAAAATAATAACGGAGCAGAAAGAACAACACACTCGAAGCGCATTAAAACACTCTGATGTGTTTGCGTTCTTTTTTATCGTTCTTCTTTTCTACGCCTTGTGTGCCACCTTCAATTACGACATTTGAAAGGGGGAGCGTTGTAATTAGCGGGCAGAGTAGAGAGAACTTGCGCATGGGGAATGCTGATGGCGAAGGCAGTCTTCGTCGATGCAACTGCTCTGTTCAGCAACTTCCTCGTGAGCCTGCTGCTGTCATTGGTGAAGGTGTCCCCACCATGAACGTAGAACGGAATGAAGGCGTAGTCGCAGGAGCTGGTGTCCACCAGGTCGTAGTCTTGCTTGTGCGCGCCGAACGTGCAGAAAAGCGGAGTCTCGCCCATGGGTCGTATTGCCGGCCCTGGTGGCGCTGTAGGGGCGTGAAAGTACAGTGCTTAACCGATGATTGGACGGCTATAAAGAAGCAGAACTTCGAACGTGGTGATATATACCCGAGAGTGAAGCAATAGTTGCACGACGCTGTACTAAAAACAAAACACATATTTCTCGTCGCACTTTTACAGGAGGGAAGATGACCAGTGTTCGGACACTCTTTCGACGGCCATCGTAATCAAATGTAGCGATGACATCGTAGTTAACAATGGGTGTGCATGGACATCCCATGTCTTCGTTGTGGGATTAATAGAGAAATTGCGAGCAGTGGAAAGCGATACGCACTTGACTAGATAACTCGAAGGCAACGTTTCTAAGTGTGGCCGACGCTTTGTATAACTAAAAAAAAGTCGCTACATTTGTATTACATGAACAGACGCTACGTAGAGACATTTTAACAGACAGTCACCTTGGCACCGCGATAGTACTCTCTGGACTGCGCTGAATAGGCATGACCCCTCCATATCCCGGAATTGTGCTGCAGAGGTTGTGACGTTAGATTTTGTACTTTTGAACTCAGTAGGAGAAATGCGGCCAGAACTAAACAGAAAATGTACGTGCGTCGAGTCCTGCTCTCTGCTACTTCTTGCTGTTCCGTGAACGACATCATATTCAAGTAAATTGTTGGCAAACAATCAAAGTCCCCGAATTACCGTTACTCTTTGAATTTAACGCCCTCTTTTGTCAGCCGGGAGGAAAATGGACAGAAATTTGTACGTTGTGGAAAATAGGGTTATACGCCATTTCAATATGCCTATATACGCATGCCTCATTAGCATTTTGATAATTATGTGAGTACTAGTGGAGTTGCGAATGTAACTTTTTTCATTAATTAAACTTCATCAACTAAACATTAGTCGCTTGTCGAGTCTACTAGGAACAATATCGGCTAGGTTTGCTTCGCATAGCACTGTCGTTCTCTTTTCTAATTCATGGAAATGCTCATCGCGCATGCATGGTCGATGAAAAAAAGAACAAGAGCTAAGTGGCGCACTGTTTCATAACGCTCTGACCTTGGTGGCAATAGAAAAATGCTAAATCCTTTTCTATTTTGTCATAGATGACTCTACTGACCTCCTATTGAAATACAAGCTACAGCCGCTTCAAAAGAAACACGATACAGCAAATAATGTAGAGAGCACGTTTCTTTCCAACCTCACTGTACGCGCGGTTGGTGGCGCAGGAGGGACAGAAGCACTGCAAGGTTGCCGTGGAGCTAGAGTGGCTTTTGCATTACCACTGGAGGTCCCTGGAGCTGGACTGGTTGGTGCAGTCGTAGGCGCTCGGGTAGGACTCAACGGTGGAGCTGGGGTAGTGCTTGGAGAAGTACTAGGGTGCGCTGGAGCTGCAGTGAGTGGTGTAGGTGCAGGCGCTGGTGTTCCAGGAAGCACAAGAAAGATAGAAAGCGTTGGTCAAACCTCTATTTGAATAAATATTGAGCATATCTTTGGACTAAGTGACAAAGCGTTTTCTTTCCTCAAAAAGCGGCGTCGATATTACAACGTAAGAATATTTTGTGGACGCATGCTTTTCGCACTAATACACAAAAACGTTTGAGATCCAATGCTGCGAATGGTCTTGTCTGATTAAATTGCCAGAATCGTCCTTTTCTCTCAATTCGTTAAAAGTGAATACGGTCCAGTAGAGACAATAATTTTCCTCACAACATAAGGCTGGTCTTGAGACACCTGGGCGTGGACAGCAAAATATATTTTTTGCGTACATTTAAAGGGCCCCCCTGCCGTGTCTGTCATGAGCCAATGTCACGAGCCAATGTCTGTCATGAGCCAACGGTTTAACTACGCAACTACTGATGTAAGCCGACAGCCGTGTTTTTTCGGCATGTTACGCTGTTCACTTTGGGTGTTTGGCATCACTTGTAGAGAGAAGAGTCAACAATTCGTAACTGCATTTGAAATTTAGTTGTAAGTTTCCTGCTTCACGTTGCGATGTTGAGCACATATGATCGCAGGAGCCACCGATAATTTAACAGTCAGCCAAATTTGCTGGCCATGTTTAGAAAGTGCTGCACGGCTCTTCAATGTGTTTTCTACACTGCGTGCTATACCTGGGGATGTTTTAGTTCGAGGTGTCGTTGAGGGCGTAGTCGCTGGCACACTCGGTAGTGGAACTGGAGTGGGTGGTGGTCGTGGCGTCGTCAGTGGCTCAGGGGTAGGTGGCCTAGGGGCAGGTGGCCTAGGGCTAGTAGGGCTAGGGTGAGGTGGCCTAGGCTGGGTGGTCCAGGAGTAGGTGGCCTAGGGCTAGGTTGTGGAGCCGGCGGTGGCAGTATCGTGTCCGTTGTGGACGTCAGAGTTGACGGCACGTCTTCTGTGGTCGACTCGTCGGTAGAGCTCGTCGTCTGTTCGTCGGTCATTGAAGTATCCAGTGGCTCAGGGGTAGGTGACCTAGGGGCAGGTGGCCTAGGGCTAGTAGGGCTAGGGCGAGGTGGCCTAGGGCTGGGTGGTCCAGGAGTAGGTGGCCTAGGGCTAGGTTGTGGAGCCGGAGGTGGCAGTATCGTGTCTGTTGTGGACGTCAGAGTTGACGGCACGTCTTCTGTGGTCGACTCGTCGGTAGAACTCGTCGTGTGTTCATCGGTCATTGAAGTATCAGCTTGCACCGTTGGTTCAGGTGGCGCTGGACATGAGAAATAGAAAAAAAACGAATATGGGAGGAAACGTGACATTTCATAGATATAGAAAATAGTATAAAGCAGATAATCAAATGAAAGCAGGTGTTAATTGCAGTATCAGCAAACCTAGTAGCTTATTTCGACTCCTTCAACATGACATAAAAAAGCAATAATGCTGGGTGCATCTGTGTGACGAAAGCTTGTAAATCACTTCGTCACATTTGCCACACGATTCAAGCGTTTTTGTTCTGATAACGCTCATGTCGTTCATAAACATCAAAGAAGGAACTGATACGTAGACCTCAGCCGTGCTTAACTTCGTACTTCACTTGACCTAGGCTGCAGTGGAGCATGAATGACGCCAATAGGCAGAGCCACACATTATGTGTAATGACGAGTACTTACACGTATAATAAACATTAGTGAATCGTTGCTCTAACTAATAACACTGGTGTCATGAACCCTACACCAACGTATTCTGGCGCTGTGGGAACGCATTGAATGTATTTTAATATTAATACATAAATGTCGGCAGATTTCACGTACCTGAGAATCGACGTTATGCGAATCACGGGGAGGGAAGGTGACCGTGTTGCAATTTTTTTATTGAGCTGCACGTCATGAAATGACGCTAAATATATGTACAAATGTTGCACGCACAGACATAAGTTGAAGGGTTGCACCTGTTTATATAGCTGGTTGTTTGCACTTGCGCAACGATGCCAACTGGAACGTGCCAGAAGCTAATATGAAGCGCTCATGTTCGCGAGGATGCTGGCCCTGGACACTGCTAAACTTCAGCGCATGGCTACTAACTACAATTGATGTTAACCCGACGTGACGGCTGTATTAGGAGTACACATCTAATGTTTATGAAATTGGGTAGGCAGCACTGCAACCACAATTGACGTTTCACGAAGAATAGCGGCTATTTGAAAAGTAGTTTCGAGGCATGGCGTAGCTCTGCGGTAAAATCTTTCATTGCCACGCCGAATGCTTGGGTTCGACTCCAGCTGGGACCCTGACATATATTCTTTGCATTCTTCGGGTCTACGCGACCGACGTCGGGTATTTCTTAACGCTCACGCATTAAAATTGCCCGCATACCCGCATACAAGCGGCGCATAACCGCCCGTGGGTATGTCATTGTCTGGAGGAAAGTGTTTGACGACGTACGCGACAGGATTGAGACATTATTCATGTCTTGACTAGCGCGTCATATTTGTCAGACCACCGTACCCTCCCATGCTAATTTTAATTCACACCAAGTTAAGGGGGTGACCACGAGAGCCCCTAAACGTAAGCCGCTGAATAGGTACATAGATACGCTCAATATCACCGAAGCTCGCTAAAAAACGCTTCGCATTTAAAACTATACACCATCTCCCCGAAGAGAGCACTGATGTAATAGAAAGCATCAGTGGTGCGCACGACGCTGACAAGACTGAAACGGGTGTCGATGCGGGTGCTGGAACAATGGTTTGAAGCGAAACTCGGTGTAGCGTTTACTCGAGTTTGAAACAAACGCGAAGACACGGGAGGCGGGAAGTGCTGAGTACGCTTCCGCTCGGCTTCCTTGGCTTGCATCTCCTCGGTGTTACCCGCGTGCCGTCTGTATTCTCGAATGAGATCGGTCTTCTTGACTCGCACTTGGTCATTGTCGTTGGTCTACAACTGCCGATGCTTGCGTTCAGCTGCCCTTGCTCGTGCATCTTCGCTGTTGACGTCCCTATTCGCGAACGTTATCGGCTTCGCAAGCCCTCGCAACGCTGGTGACAGCCGGGAAAGGTTGATTGATTGATATGTGGGGTTTAACGTCCCAAAACCACCATATGATTAAGAGAGACGCCGTAGTGGAGGGCTCCGGAAATTTCGACCGCCTGGGGTTCTTTAACGTGCACCCAAATCTGGGTACACGGGCCTACAACATTTCCGCCTCCACCGGAAATGCAGCCACCGCAGCTAGGATACGATCCCGCGACCTGTGGGTTAGCAGCCGAGTACCTTAGCTACTAGACCACCACGGCGGGCGACAGCCGGGAAAGGTACGCGCACGCAATCGGGAAGCATGCCGCGATGGCATCCCGACCGCCGGCGCGATCTTGCGGCAAGCAGCGGCACCCTGTCCAAATTGTCGGCGCCGTGAGATTCTCGAGGCGCACGCACCCGCCGGCTCGCCATTCTTCTCACCGACTGATGGAGAGAGGTGGCGTGGGTGAGATGATGCCTATGTGAAAAGTGGGCTCGAGCGTTGCGAGTGGGGGAGAAGGTGAAGTGAGAGAGGGCTGACACGCGACAAGCACGGGGCTGGCGAGGGAGAGAGACGTAACTGCGCACTGCTAGGAGGGTGTGAGCTACTTGGCAATGCTCCAACACCTGCGGCGAGGGTAGCCGTGTGGACGGAGGGACAGAGTTATATAGGCTAGTCGGAAAGCTGCTTCGCATCTAAAAACATTTTAGGGGCGAAGCTCCATAAGCCGTGGGTAGTGCGTCTGCGCTGTATGTAGTAGTAGTAGTCATAGTAGTAGTAGGCAGCCACTTCTCGTTTAGTATTTGGAATGTCCTCTAGCTGGATTTATTTCTGTGAGATGAATATATGATGAAAAGTTGCGAGATGGCGGTACTAGGAATATTTACTAGATGGATGAACGGACGAATGAATGGACAGACAAGCAGATAAACATTTGGATGGACGCGTGGTGAGACAAAGATGCACGGACAGACTGACGGAAGGAAGCACGGACGAACGGACGAATGGACGGACGCACAGACAGACGCACCGATAGATGTACGGATGGACACACGGACAGACGAACAGATGGACGGAGGGATGCATGAACGGTCGCACAGATGGATGCATGAACGGACGGAAGCAAGAACGAACGGACGGATGGAAGCGCGGACGGGCTGATGGATGCTTCTCCCAACTAATCATCATTCCGTGGATATCCTGCGATTTTTTTTTTCGTTTCGATGTGGTGGGAGTGGTGTTTCGCATTAGCGTCTACAGTCTGACGTCAAGGGGAGGCCGCAACTCCCGATGAACAAGCGGCAGCTCAGTAGGCTCAATCACCATCTCACAGTCAGGCGTACACTGATCAGTGAATTGTCTTTCAGTTGACGCCGACAGCGATTTCTGCGATATGAGCCAAAGACACATCGTTCGCAAACCTATGGTGGACTGTGATGATTTGTCGTGATAATGTTTATTACGGTGGCGGCGCTTTGCAGATGTAGGGTGGCGACAACTTTCAAAAAAGTCTTTGTTGGTAGGTGGAAATCGTTGACAGTCCACACAAAGAGAACGCAATATGTCCTTTCAGCGATGTCCTTACAATCGTGTCAGTGCTTTCGTAACACATCACGAGTAATTCAGTACCACAAATGCTTACAAAACTTTCGACCAGTTCAAAATTTAAAAGTTGCCATTGAACGGTGTAACGCGAAAAAGCCGTGCTTAGCGCTGCTAAAGGTTTCATCCGTAGCATGTCATGCATCGTTCACAAGCCGCAATTGATCGATGCGCGGCAATATGTGCTCACCTATCAAGAAAGAGAACAGAGCGTAGCACAGCGCACCGAGCAGCGTGATGAGGAAGGCGAACAAAAGAGCCAGGATGGCCTTGATTTGCCTGCGAGAATTGACAGTGTAACGACGCACGAAGAATGAGCAAACACAACTTCGAGGTTATTAAATAGCCGAGTAAAAAGACGCAGCGATGATGAAGGGGGTTGGATAGAAAGCATTGGCGATCTTTTTCTTTGTTTCTGTTCGGAAAAACAGAGAGACAGCACCAATACATGTCATCAGAATTTAGGTATGTACGCCTTTGTTTCGTGGATAATATTTTTACTCATGGGTTACTTTATGTCATCCCTTTTGCGCGAGAACGTTGTTCTTGCATGGACTCTAAAATTCGTGATTCTGAATGTATTTGGTTAGTTCAGAAGGAACATTGTACAGCTTCAAGCGCACGCTAATCTTTTGGCAGGCTACATTTACAGATATATTAATTAAGCTGCATTAAAGAGGTCGATAATGAATGGATTGTTGTACAATACAATACAACACGAAGCGAGGCAAAATTACAACCCGTGTTTTTTTGTTTCAGTTTTCACATACACGATATCTTGGCATTGCAAAAAAGAAACAAAAATTTACATTAATTTTCGTGAGAACGTGTGCTTAACGCTCATGCATTCAGTGTGTCCGCAATACTAGACACTTAATTCTCAAGTTTTCGAAGGCATGCGATAAAAGCCCAGAAAGTTCTTACCACGAAGCCGCAGCTTCAGGCAGGAACCCTGCCGCTGGGCTGCAAAAGCATGAAGTACTCCGTGAAACACTGGACAGCATCCATGCGAAATGATAGTTTGTAAAATATTTCAAACTAAAAGTAAGATCCAAAGTGACTTTAGTGCACGTCCTTAGACATGAACTTTACGTCTTCAGATATAGCTTCAAAATATTGGGACAACTTTTAAAACGTGTAGTGCTGAACCTTATCAAGAAGTATAAATGTTGGAGACGAAAATAAGAGTGCATGACTATGTCATCAAATTTGTCAACTAACAATAATGACAAATAATAGCAAATGACCCCGCCACGGTGGTCTAGTGGCTAAGGCACCACGGTGGTCTAGTGGCTAAGGTGTTCCTCTGTAAAAGTGTATTCATGCTCCCCTGTGAACAAGAAGAAGACGTGCGCTTGGATTTGTCAAAATCAAAAGTGCACCTAAATCTCTCAAAACACACACACACACACACACACACACACACACACACACACGCACGCACGCACGCACGCACGCACGCACACACCACACACACACACACACACACACACACACACACACACATACACACACACACACATACATACATACATACATACATACATACATACATACATACATACATACATACATACATACATACATACATACATACACACACGCACGCACGCACGCGCACACACACACACACACACGCGCACACACACACGCACACGCGCACACGCGCGCGCGCACAATTATTGTTTGTATTCCCCCCCCCACATACACAGCACACACTATATTCCCCCCCCCTCTCTGTGTCTGTGGAGGCAGTGCGGTGCACATGTACAGAATAACGGATATAATAAAATGTTTTCGTACGTTGGTCCGTGCTTGACAGATACTTCGATGTGCGAAAGCGGAATGCACTGTGCCTCGGTGATATTTCAGTAATGAATTTAGAAATAAATGGAGAATGCACGTTTTGCGGGTAATACTTACACTTCTCCTGAAAAAAAAAGATGAGTGTGTTGAAATGCCAGTTTATTAAATGGCGCTGATCGAAAAGAAGTGCCCTAGTGTGCACGTCCATTAAACTTTGCACATTCTCGCGCAAAGCACACATCTGCAGTCACGTGCTGCGGTGTATTATAAAGAATAATTTTCACTGGGTGTCTTGGCAAGTGATCAGCGTTTATCACAGGTAAATCTATACAGAGTTGTCCTATTTGTGCAATATATAACTTACTTTAGCCAGAAGCACCGGTTTTTTATTTTTTTCAAGAATTTTTTAAATATTTGTGAAACGAAAAAAAAGCACGATCCAAAGTACTTACACTGAACAGACAATGAACACTGAATGTTCGTGCCTCTGAAGCCGCATCGCAAAGTGTTCTGCCACTCACCTGCTGTTGGTAAGACTTCCATTAATGCCTTCGCTGCCGTGGGTGAAACGGCCCCTGCATAGATGAAAGAGGGTATAAGCACCGTAGCGTAAATAACATTTCGTGAAGTAGTATTCAATGCAAGAGTTTCACGAATGCATTCACTTTTGGCAGCAATAAGAAATGGAGGGGATACTGAAGACAACAGATATTTGACTAGCAATGGTGTTTGCAGCCAAAAGTATGAAACAAACCCGTGGAGTGAGAAAGAACAACTCAAAAATGCAACACAAAGCAATGTTGCAACGCGAAAGCCTTAAATAGCTGATGTTGATATGTGTCGGGTGTGGGCCAATAACATGATATGTGCTGTTCAACGTCATATTGTCACGACGTCAAAACAGAGGTCTTGCCGGAGAGATTGAGACACCAGAAGCAGGTCGACCTTCTTAATTAGAACGCGCGAGCGAGTTCTTTTTCGTCCATTTCGTAGTCCTTCGTGGCACATGCACAACTACCATCGTCTTTCTTGAGCAAGCACGTGACATTTGCCTCCCTCCGAAAGAAGCATCGTCCCGATGCGCAACTTAGGTGCTCTACCAGGCGTATGAAAACGGCAACCGGGAGCTAATTAACTCGATAAATACGGTTTCATATGCACGACGCGCACGACTTCGGGCAATTGCTTTTGGCGCTTAGAACTACAATTAGCGTCGGGAACAACTTCGTAGTTCACGTCGTTCAAGCGTCGCGTGACGCTGTATGGACGAGAGTACCGTCTTAGAAGTTTCTCAGACAGTCCACGTCGACGTATCGGAATCCAGACCCACACTTTTGCGCCTGGTGTAGATCTTAAACTTGTGTCGGGTGTCGTAGCGTTGTGCATCTTGACGCTGCTGATGACAGATGCGCACGCGCGCGAGCTGTCTGACTTCTTCGGCACGCTGAGGGAATTCTTCGGCGTCTACATGGATGTCGTCACACTCATGCGGCAACATGGCGTCCAATGTTGTCGTGACTTCGCGACCATAGATCAGACCTAACTGTGTTATTCCAGTAGTTTCTTGCGCGGTGTTATAAGCAAAGGTCACATACGGCAATATCTGATCCCAGTTTTTATGCTCCGTGTCAACGTACATGCTGATCATGTCTGTGAGGGTCCTATTGAGGCGCTACGTCAGTCCGTTTGTCTGCGGATGGTATGCAGTTGTTCTCCGGTGAGCTGTACCGCTGAACCTGAGAACCAACTCCAAAAGCTCTGCGGTGAAGGCAGGTCCTCTGTCTGTGATCACTGTTGTCGGAGCGCCATGCCGAAGGACGATGTTTTCGATGAAGAATTGAGCTGCTTCTGGTGCTGTGCCGCGCTGCATAGCTTTAGTCTCCGCATAACGGGACAGGTAATCAGTGACCACAATAATTCATATGTTACCTGTTGTGGTAGTTGGAAAGGGACCCAGGAAATCCATTCCAATCTGGGTGAACGGCTTTTCTGGTGCTTCGACTGAATGTAAAAGACCAGCTGGATTGCTGGGAGGCGCTTTGCGTCTTTGGCAGTCGGTGCAAGTTCGCACGTGATGGTTAACAGCAGCAGGGAACTTTGGCCAGTAGTACTTGCATCGTAGTCGGCACAATGTTCGGGTGTAGCCTAGATGACCAGAAGATGCTTCATCATGGCACGCTTCCATGATTTCTTTTCGAAGAGAGGCAGGCACGACGAGCAAGTGCGGGTTACCGGTTGGTGAGAAGTTTTTCTTATAGAGAACATCGTTTCGCAAGCAAAAAGATGGCAGTCCTCTAGCGAATAACCGCGGCACGTCTTTACGTCGTCCTTCTAAATATTCAATGAGTGGTAACAGCTCAGGGCCACTGCGCTGCTCTCGTGCAATAGTGGCCGTGTTGACAACTCCCAAGAATGCCGCGTCGATGTTTTCGTCATCAGGAGCGACAGTTTCCACTGGCGACCTGTGAGAGACAGTCGGCGTCGGTGTGCCTCTTCCCAGATTTATAGACGATGGTCACGTAAAACTCTTGAAGCCTTAGGCTCCAGCGCGCCAAACGACCAGGTGGATCTTCAAGGTTAATGAACCAGAAAAAAGAGTGATGGTCGCTAACAACCTTGAAGGAGCGGCCGTACAAATACGGACGAAATTGATGACTGCCCACACCACGGCGAGACACTCCTTCTCGGTGGTCGAGTAGTTCTCCTCCGTGCGAGAGAGAGTTCTGCTGGCGTAGGCTATCACTCTTTCACAGCCGTCTTGCCACTGCACCAGAACGGCACCTAGACCTACATTGCTGGCGTCAGTGTGAAGTACTGTAGGGGCGTCCTGGTCGAAGTGCGCCAGGACTGGAGGTGTTTGCAGGCGTTGTCGTAGTTCATTGAATGCCATTTGCTCCTGTTCACCCCAAAAGAAGGGGACGTCCTCACGTGTGAGTCATGTCAATGGCGCCGCAATAGACGAAAAGTCCTCGATAAATCGCCTGTAATAGGCGCACAGCCTTAAAAAGCGTCTCACAGCTTCTTGTCACAAGGTGCAGGAAATTACGCTATGGCGTCTATTTTGGCCGGGTCAGGTCGAACACCCTCGTGACTGACGACGTGGCCAAGGAAGCTGAGTTCGTTGAAACCAAAATGACATTTTTCTATTTTTTAAAGTCAGACCCGCCGAGCGTATGGCTTGGAGTACGGTGAATAGACGGCTGAGATGTTCCTCGAATGAAGCTGAGAATACAACAACATCGTCCAGATACACCAAGCATGTTTGCCACTTCAGGCCCGATAGTACAGTGTCCATGAGACGCTGAAAAGTGGCTGGCGCCGAGCACAACACAAAAGAAGCACCTTAAATTCGTAAAGGCCACCAGGCGTCACAAAGGCCGTTTTTTCACGATCTCTCTCGTCGACTTCTATCTGCCAGTAGCCGCTGCGGAGGTTCATTAAAGAGAAATAGCGCGCATGACGCAGCCGATCGAGTGAATCATCTATGTGAGGCAGTGGATAGACGTCTTTCTTCGTGACTTGGTTCAACTTGCGATAATCAATACAGAAACGCAAGGGGCCGTCTTTTTTCTTGACCAAAACCACGGGGGACGCTGTTGCGAAGCACGGCCTCCGAAATCCTACCGCTGACCTCCACTGTTGCGAACGACGGACCGATCCCGCCGAAGCCACCACTGTTGCGAAAGACGGCGACGCCAACACGGTCCCGATGGCGCCACTGCTTCCAACTCCGCCGGGAAGGTCACCAGCCGTTTGGTAGCGTATGTTTATCAGCTCGCGACTGCTTCTGCGCAGAGCTGATAAGACGAGCGGACGAGACGACGGTGAGTTAAACAAGGTTTATGTACAGCATGTATACAGAGGCGTTACAATTTCGGCACTGGGGCCGACAGAGACTCGAAGAGCCGAGCTCTCCTCTCTAACACATAGATCAGCCTTTCGCCTAAGACCGCCGACTCGCACACATGACGGCTCTCCGACATGGGGACTCCTCTCTCATAGGACCTCCGATCGCGACGCGCCGCAGGGCTTCTTTTATTTACACCGGGTCCAACCAAAATGTCCAATCAGAAGCGCCGCTGGTCGTCAGCGCAGATTCTTCCAATGGGGTTGCCACGCCATGCGTGAGACCACCAGACACGAGAACGCCGGCTCGCTGTCACGTGCGCCGCTGACTCAATGCACGTGGGCGAGAGAGGCGCCGCGCGTGTTCACGCCGTTGAGATGTTCGCGTCAGGCGGTCTGCGGGCTGGCCTTGACCCAGATTGCCTTTTTCCGAGGCACGGACGTTTGACGGGGACTCGCTGGCATAACAGCACCCCCGCCGCCAGACAATGCACCGGAAAGACGAGCTGCTTCCACGGGGCTCGGATGTCAGGTGCGCTCGTTCGCCAGGTCCCTCCAGGTTCGCCTCCAGGGCCATGGGGAGAATACAGCTCCAGACTGTTCCGGGAACACATCCAATTTTGACGACGGATCCCAGCTCCACTGGCTTGTCGCCACAACTTGCTGACCAGCTTCACTCGTCTCTTCTGACCATCTTCGGTTTCAGCACTTGTCGATGGTTCTGCAACTTGCCAAAAACGGATCGACAACAGACAACACACGACACACGCAAGTGCCCTCGGTCACCCGACAGAACACCAGACAAAGTATAGTACAACATATACCTATCTACGTGTTTATCAAAATTTTGTTCCCTCTACATCAAGAGGCACATGTGGGACAAAAGTACCCTTAAAATGACAACTCAATTTTTTTCCCACGTACAACAACGTAACGGATTAGAATACCACAAATTTGGCCCCTTTAGATCACTGTGAACGAGAGCGCTCAGCCCAGGTCGTGATGAGGTCAAAATTTTGCCCCGAATCGCCAGCGAGAAACCGAAAGGTTGAGAAGGTACTAACTAAACGCACGGCTCAATGCGTCTGCATTAGCGTTTAGCCTTCCTTTTTTTGTAGCGAACGTCAAAGTTGCGCTGTGGAGCAACATGCTCCACCTCAGTAACCGGCCACTTTTAGGCGACGATACCTATGCGGCACCGAGAGCGGCTCACACTTGCGACGTTCCACAGGAGAACAACGATACGGCTTGCTACTGATTGACTCCTCACCGCTTAGCTCGATATCGTGTTCGATCACCCTCGTGTTTCCGGGGCGGTCCAAAAACACGTCTTCAAACTCGGAACCAATCTTTCTCAGGTCCTCTTTCTCAGGTCCTCCTTCACTTAAGCTAGGCTCTAGGTTTATCTGCTCCCGGATTACTTTCGATCCCCCTTCAATTACCTCACTAGAACTCAAAATTTCTGCTTCCTCTTCCTTTGAAGCATTCAACACCAGATTTACGACCGCTTGAGGTTGAACGTATGGTTTCATCAAGTTGTAAATTTTGTCCGGCCGCCTTCCTAATTTCACTTCAAAATTTGTATCGCAAGGCTTCGATAATACTTTGGCGGGCCCTTCCCAATCAACCTCAAGCTTGTTCTTTTGAACGGCTGCAGCAGCATTACCTGACTCCCTACTTCAAAAGCACGCTTCTTCACCGATTTCTCGTAGTGCTCCTTCGACAGCAC